ACATGCCTTGCGTCGTGTAGATTACTGTGGTTTTTATCAGCTGTTTGGACTCATTCTGACGGCACCCATTCACTGCAGAGGATCCATTGGTGAGCAAGTGACAATGCTAAATGTCTCCAAATCTGTTCTAATGAAGAAACAAACTAATCTACATCTTCAATGGCCTGAGGGTGAGTAAATGTTTAGCAAATTAACATTTTTGAGTAAACTATTCCTTTAATAATAAACTACTGGGTGACATGATTAAATTTTGAGTGAGCAATCATTTTCTCAAGCATAACGTCAAAGCCTGGGTATTTTATCCTGAAAGCAGCTGACTGAAGATTTATACTTGCATGTTTCCTGGAAAACATGTTAAAGTGTACAAAACAATAATTCTGTATCTGTTGTTTGTAATCAATATTGAGGAATTTATTTATTTTATCATTTTATTTTTATTTATTTATTCATTCATTTATTCATTTATTTTTGCTGAAATAATGAAACGTGTATTGAGTGCATTCAAGGTTCAATAATGATTAGGAATATTTCATGAAGGAAAAAAAAACAGTTATATTAAGAACATCCATAATATTATCCACCAGAGGGCATCAGGTAACCTTATCGAAAGAGGACATCTTATTGGTTTTTAAATAATGCAGATTTGTTCTCAACATGACTCATCTGGGTCAGATCAAATAAAGAGGCATTCTCAGTGTTCATCTCCTACATAAAGAAATCCTTTTGTGTTAGGTGATACATTTAATTGGTTCTAAATTTCCAGAGTTTTTCCAAAACATTAGCTAGCAAAACAGAGCTAAAATTAGACAGATTAATTTAGACTTTCTGTCTCTCTCATCTAAGAAAAACAGACTTTTAAGTCCAAGAAACCATTTGCATGTGTTTCAGCAAGGTGCGTGAAAAAACCAAGCACAATCACCAGGATCCACTGAAGTTTTGCAATTAAACGTGAAAAGCTGCGGGCCCAAGATATGTTTGATCCCTTTGACAGGTTTAAAACGCTGAGGGTGAAACTGATCCGATATGTTTTTAATGTTTGAGTTAATCACCTTGTCTGTAAACATTTAGCTGGAAGTTTATTTATATAGACAAATAATTTGTGATGTTTATGCAAATGACGTGATGTAACATTCTCAGCTCTGGGAAGACCCCAAGGTGTCCTTCCAACCATTGACAAGATGCAATCACTGCAACAGATACACACAGCCTAAAGCAATCCAGCTTGTCAAATGAAAATGCTTACAATGTACCACAAAGTATTTCAGTTCAATATGAGTGTTTGGTTGCACATTCAATTCTTTAGTGACCGCAAAATGAAACCAGTCAGTTCTAGTTTGATGTAATTGCTGTTGGCTTTGAATACCTGCCTGGTATTACATTTTAAGTGCAATCCAGAATAGGTATCACTCATTTGGTGAATAAAAGCACAGGTGCTGACTGATTTCCTTGATGTAAATACTGCCGTATGATTTCTGGGAAATCACAGGTTTCTGGTGGAACAAGTCCTGCAGAGTTATTGCACAAAGTGCCATATTTGTTTCTTTTTGTTACAACAGAGCACACCAGTTATTTTGTTTGAAGAGGCCATGCAAGACGGTGAACATTTCATAACTTGTACAGGCACAGTACTTGTACACAGCCCATGCTTGGTCAACAGCAGTTGTGCCAGTAGATATTGAAATTATAATATTTGGTTTTGGTGGATTTATGTCATTTTTACAGTCGATTATTATTTATCACATCTCGGATTTGCTATCAAGGGACTGTGCACATGCACAGTAAATGTGCCGTAGTGATCAGGCATGTGAACATACATACATTACACACTATAACTATTACAAAAAACCTCATTACATTTGATTTTTGTTAAGATGTATAAACTCTTCCTGGCCAGAACTGCAAATATCACACTTCACTCAAATCTGTCATACTACACCATATTCTTACTTTCCCCGTTTTGCTGCTACAGGATTTATTCTTGTTCATTCTACTCCTATATATGGTTTTTATGTTTTCAGAATCAGGTTTCTTGACTAACTAAGCTCTCATTTAGTCCTTTGATTTGATTTTTGAATGATATGTGTATTAAAACGTCCCATCAAAATAGTAAAATCCAAGGAATTACCACCAGGTAAATGTAATTTGATAGATCAACAGTTTAGTAGAGGGAAGCAATGCCCCCTTGTGGCCAATGTACATGACAAAGTAACAATTTTAAGATTCTCACTGAACAGATGTGTCTGTTCAATGAGAATATATATATATATTAAAATTAGAATATATCTATATCACTAAATATCACTAAACCCCAAGTAAGCGATAGGATTAAAGCCCGGATCCAAGTGTTAGTTTAACTGAATGAGGTCAACAGTTCTTGTTTTCCATACACTCTAAAAAATGCTGGGTTAAATTCAACCACGTGCTGGGTAAAATAGGGACAAACCCAGCACTGGGTTGTATTTAACCCAGCATTTTTTAGAGTGTAGGGATTATAGGCTTTAAGGGGGTGGATAACAAAAGGAGATATAACAAGTTTGATCAGCTTTATGTCTTTTAGCAAGTATTGTGGAGGTATAAATCAATGATCTTTAATCATTCATGGCTAAAAAACTGAAGAAATTAAAGTAACTACACTCTAAAAAATGCTGGGTTAAAT